TTAGGTTCACCAGGTATACACTCCGTGACCTTTATTTATGGCTAGAAACCAATTATGAGTGAATACATCCCATGTTCATCTTTTTGGGTCTGGGTTACCTCGCTCAGGATAGTGTTTTCTATTTCCATCCATTTGCATGCAAAATTCGAGAAGTCATTGTTTTTTACCGCAGCATAATACTCTAATGTGTATATATTCCACACTTTCTTCATCCATTCTTCCATTGAAGGGCATCTAGGTTGTTTCCAGGTTCTGGCTATTACAAATAATGCTGCTATGAACATAGTTGAACAAATGCTTTTGTCATATGATAGGGCATCTCTTGGGTATATTCCCAAGAGTGGTATTGCTGGGTCCAGGGGTAGGTTGATCCCGAATTTCCTGAGAAACCGAAACACTGATTTCCAAAGTGGTTGCACAAGATTGCATTCCCACCAGCAATGGATGAGGGTACCCCTTCCTCCACAGCCTCTCCAGCAAAGGCTATCATCGATGCTTTTGATTTTAGCTATTCTGACAGGTGTAAGATGATATCTCAAAGTTGTTTTGATTTGCATTTCCCTGATTGCTAATGAGGTTGAGCATGACTTTAGGTGTCTTTTGGCCATTTGAACTTATGTGTATTATTTTAAGAGATATCGCAGTCAATGCTATGAAAAGAATTTAAAACCAACTTGCAAATGCAAGGGCTAGGACAATTATGTTGATGATAGTTAATATAATCATATTGATGAAAGTTACTATATTCTCTGACTAATTGTTAATCAATAACTGGGGGAAATTGAAAAGCATTGATTATGTAATTCTTGCTACTACAAAAAATGGCAACTGCAAAAAGTCACCCTAATTGTGACATCATAAAGATAGTTAAATATGAGACCTTGTTGAGAGGATGTTTAGAGTAAAAAAAAATTTTATGGATGATTAAATTAAACAGAGGTTTTCCCAGATTAATATTACTTGTTACAAAGATTTTGAATTAAATTTGGAGGAACATGCTGTCACAAATGAAATGTCTTAACTCAGTTCTGCAGGTGAAGCATAGTTGATACCATCCAAGAAATCATTTGCATATAGGCTTTATTATAATACAAACAAGCAACTAAGAAGGATGCATTTCTACAGCAGCATTTGATACAGTTTATAGGCGATTCTGGAACATACGGAATGAAAGCCTGAAGCAACGGTTTTCTTTTGAAATGTACTGAATCAACCATGTATTTTAAGAGCCATATAAGAGCTGACAAAGTTGGACATTTGCTATTAATATTGCAAAATATGCAGAAAAGTGATTGTTATTACCTTACTGTTTATAAGCAAACTAGAATTTTTATCATTTTATCAGAAAAAAAGTCATATTATTTTTGGATTGTAACTATAAACCTCCAAATAACAATGGAGAAATATTTAGATTTGAAAAACTTTAATAAATGGGCACTAAAGCTAAGCCTATGAACTATTGAAAAAAATCCCCTAAAATGTGGCATTAGAGTATCTGAATAAAGATTTTGTAAGTATCTAATGTACCTGTCTCGAACCCAATGACAAGGGTAAAATCTAGTCTTTTAACCTCACAATTTTATCTGATCTAAGGATGGAAGAAATAATAATAATAATAGCAACTAAATATTACCAATAGCAGCTTAATCTACAGCAAATAGTACATTAAGTGCTTTGTGGACACAGTATCAATTTTATTACCTTCCTTTTATGTAAAACATCCTGAGGAGAGAAAAGTTTCTGGCCAAGACCATTTAGCTCTTAATTGGTAGAGACTCATTCTGTCTGACATTTGAGCCTGCCTTCTTATACTACTTTGTGCACTATAATACAATGAAAATATAATTTTATTCTGTTTAGGTTAATTTTATTCACCTACTAAGGATTCATTCTTGACCCAGAAAATGTCCTTACCACAAAGAACTCTTAAGTACTATACCTATTTCTGAGAGGTGCTGTGGCTTCTCTTTTTCCCACCACGGAGATGCTTGCTGATCTCATTCCAAATATGAATCTCCCCTCCCTAAAGCCTCAGGCAGATATGGGTCCAGTGTCACAACACTACAAAGATTTCAGTAAAGAACCGTTTCTTACTTCTTAATACCCCTTGGATGCTGCACTGTGATACAGTTTAGTTTAATTTTAGCTTAAGTTTAGTTAACTATGTCACCCTGAAACTGCTAAGGACCTTCTCTCAGCAGGGAATAAAACATTAAATCTAAAATTAGGTCAACATTAGTCAAAATCTTTTGAATTACAGCTAAGATCTATCTTTAAGCTTTCCTAAATTCTTCTTTTCTAAAGAGACATATGAAAACCAATGAGCCATTTAAAACCCTACAGGACATAGATTAAATTAAATCCCAGTGTGGAAAGATTTATTGATGCAGTTTAATGTAGGTATGTTTTCTTTTATTGAAAATAGACTTTTTCATGTACTATATTCTGATTATAATTTCCTCTACCTTTAGTCCCCTCATTTTCTTCCTACTTCACCTTCCATCTGTATCAACCCCATTTGTGTTTCTCATTAGAAAACAAATGGGCTTCTAAGAGATATTAATAAATAATAAAATAAAACAAATATATGGAAAGGACTTGTAGAATTTAAAGAGAGAAAACAAAATAAAAAATAAAATATAAAATTAGGAAAATAAAGTCTTTGACATTGCATTGTGAGAGAAGGAACTGCCAAAGACTCTGCTGAATTGCTTTGTCTGTTGGCCATATGTTGGGCATACAGCCAACCTTTAAGTGTTGTTTGTTTTCCTAGGATGTTGAACATTTCTTTAAGTTTTTCTCAGCCATTTCAGTTTCCTCTATTGAGAATTCTCTCTCTTAATATATAATCCATTTGTTATTTGTTTTCTTCACATATAGTTTCTTGTGGTTTTCATATATTTTGGATATTAGCCATCTATCAGAAATGGAGTTAATAAAAATATTTTCCCATTCTGTAAACTGCCAATTTATCTATCTATCATGGTGTTCTTTGCCATGCAGAACTGTCTCAATTTCATGGGGTTCTATTTATTATTTGTTGATTTTAGTGTCTGTACTAATGGTGTTCTTTACAGAAAGTCCTGTCCTGTGCCAATGATGTTAAAGCTAGTTCCTACTTTCTTTTCTATCAGGTTCTGGGAATTTGGTTTTATGTTGAGATTTTCCACATATTCAGAATGAATTTTGTGCAGGGTGATAAATATGGAACTATTTACATTCTTCTAGAAGCAGCCATCCAGTTTAAATATCATCATGTGTTGAAGTTATCTTTTCTCCAATATCTTTGTCAAAAATAAATAAAAAGAATAGGTATGTGGATTTCTGTCTGGGTTTTCAATTGGATTCTGTTTATCAACATGTCTATTTCTGTGGGAATGCCGTGCTGCATGGATTCGGTTTATTAAAATGTCTATATTTGTGAGAATACCATGCTGCTTTTGTCACTCTGTAGCTGAAATTGAGGATTGTGATATCTTTCACGGTTCTTTTATTATTCAGAATTGTTTTAGCTATCCTGGGTTTTTGTACTTCCATATGAAGCTGAAATTTTTCTTTCAAATATCTGTGTTGGAATTTTGATAGGATTGCTTTGAATCTGGAGATGTCT